GGGGTCAAATATTTATTAGGATGTAGGAAAATGATGGAAGAATGTAAAAAGGACACAACAATGAGACCTTCCAAGAAGAGTGGTATTGTCTGTGATGTACTCAGATCTGTGAGCAGCACAAAACCTTCCAATCTGCAATCACTTCCCTAAAGATTGTTCATCATAAGAGCCGTGTGTGTGGAAGCCAACCGATGTGTCCTCATCATCCATGTGCTGGGGACAGGACACACTGGGGTTCACTTACTAAAGGCCAATATGCTGTAAACTTTGCACAGGAATTTCCCTTCGTTTAGTGAATGGGGTTACAAGATTCGGTATTGTTTGTAAAGTCAAAGGTCACCACTTTCACTAAGCTATGGGAAGATTCCCCTGCAAAGTGAACAGCCTATGGGGCTGCTCTACTAAAGGCAAATCCCCTGCTCACTTTGCACGGGAATTTTCACTTAGCACAGGAAGTTTCCCCTTAGCTTATGAAGTGACGCTCTGCTGACTTCCATTATCCAATCATGTGCAAGCAAAAATACTGTGGGAGGAATTTATCAAAACTGGAGCAGACAGAATCTGGACCATTTGCCCATATCAACCAATCAGCTTCTCTCTTCAGTTTGTACAGTTAAACTTTGAAGATGAAAGAGAGAAGCGGATTGGTTGCCGTGTACGGCTGCTCCAGATTTTGTCTGCTCCAGTGTTGATAAATTTCCTTCTGTTTCTTTGTATTTGCTGTGAGTGTGATTGGGAATTCTGTGCACAGTGACATTTCCCCACATTCACTAAACTAAGAGGAAACTTCCCCTGCAAAGTGAAAATCCTATTTCTTTTTAGTAAACCAACCTCAATACATCAATGTGTCAGTCCTGCAGACAATGAGCGATACACTTTGCATGGCCAACATGCTCTTATTGTGGTCATACACAGAAATACTTTTTAGTACCTTTAAAGAAGAACTCCAAACGTACCCTTGTAGTGAGGCTTGCCCTGAACTGCAAGGGTTAAGTGCTTGTTTTGTCCAGGGGGCTCAAAAAAAGCTGGAATACTCTGGTCCTGTGGTAGTCAGCGCTCACCTCTCTCCCTCTTCACTCCGGCTGTGGAATAGCCCTCGGCATCCTCACATCTAATGCAAGTCAATGGACCTGTAAGATGTGATGATTAGGGGTGGGCTCACAAGCCAAGCGTGAGTTCGACTCAAACATCGGCAGTTTGTGTGTTCGGCGAACACATGAACTGTCAGGGCGTTCGGCGGTCTGTTTGACTGCCAAGCTCCCTGCAAGTCACTTTGCCTTGTGAGCCCTGATTGGCTAAAGCCTTGCACCTGACCACAGGTCAAGCAAAACAAATGGCAAAAACACTATGGGGTCTATTCACTAAGCTGCCGTAGGCAGCCGAGTGAAAGACCGACCTGAAATGAAGTCAGCCGTGCATCGGGTGGCTTCACGTGGCGAAGTGGAGGAGGAGTTCGACTCAGCCGATCCAACATCTGGATCGGATGAGCCGAACCTCCGGCAGGCTTCTCACTGCTGTTCGGGCTATTCTTATAGATGCCAAACAGCAGTGAGTGAATAGCTCAATGCCGCTAAGCGGCATTTGGCTCGGCTGTTCTGCTCGGTCCCTCAGAGGTACCGAGCAGAACAGAAAAATAGTTAAAAAAGTAAAAAAAATAGAAAATGATTGTGTGGAGCTAGCAGTGACAGCTAGCTCCGCCCAATAGTTCTCTATTGGCCGGCGGTTCTGCTGCCGTCAAAAAAAAAGAAAAAAAAACTCTCACGGGCGCTCTGGGAGCCTCCCGCTCCCGGCCGCCCAGGAGAGAAGCACTGATTTTTCTTTTTTTTCTTTATTCTGACACGGAGCTGTGTCAGAATAGAAAAAAAAAAAAAAATTTGCCCATAAGATTTGCATTGCTAGATTCCTATTGGCTATTTCATTGGACCTGATGGAGAACTGCAGCAGAGGGCGGGTGCAATGCTAGTTTACTATTGGCTATTGCAAATTGAAATAGCCAATAGGAATCTAGCAATGCAATCCTATGGGCACATTTTTTTGTCTTCTTTTCTATTCTGACACAGCTCCGTGTCAGAATAAAGGGAAAAAAATAAAAATCACTTTCTCTCCCTGAGCGGGAGACTCCCGGAGCGCCCGGGAGAGTTTGCTGTTTGGAGATCAGTGTCCCTGGTTAGCAGGTAACCAGGGACGCTGATCTCTCTGCAAGTGGCCGGAGCCAGCCGTAAGATCAGGCTGGCTCCGCCCAGCTGTCAGAAGCAGGCTGTCGGCCGGCCATTCGGCCATTGGCCGCTTTCAGTGCGGCTCAGTCGAGCCGAGGCATATGCGTTTGGCTCGACTGAGCCGCTCGGCCAACTTCGGGAGCTGCACGAGCTATAGGAAATAGCCCGTACAGCAGTCCTTCGGTTCTACTGAACTGAAGGGGTCCTGGGGCCGAAGCTAGCCAAAGGATCGGCCAAAGCTACGGCCAGATCCTTCAGCTGCTTTGTGAATGTGAATATGTTGCCAGAATCTGTCAAAACGCCATTCTGCGGCGGGAGTTCGTCGCGAGTGGACGCGACAATGTTCGTCGGGTTTTTTTTATTATTTCTATTTATTTTTTAATGTTTTATTTTTTATGTCGTCAGTGTCGTGGACAGCGCTGGACGTCGTGATTGACGGATTACATCACTGGATCAGTTTTTGTTTTTTTTAAATAAGACTTGTCAAAAATTGTCTGTTGTTTTGTTTCCAAATAAAGGATTTTATCAAAAGTCTGGTGTTTTTTTTTTACAATTTTATTTAACCCTTTAGTGAATGGGTAGCGGTATAAGTTTCCCTTACTCATTCACAAGGGGGGGTACCATTATGTGAAGAAGGCCCCCTGCCCGCAACCCCACAACCGACGCCCCAGGGCTTGTGGCAAAGAAGTCCTTGTCCCCATCGGCACGGGGGGCGACCCTGTAAAAGCACCCTCCCAGTGCTGAGGGCATGTGACCGCTCGCTTGTCCCCCCCCCTTTCCTGCCCTGCCAGGGTCTGGTATGGAATTTGAGGGGGGACTCCACGTCCCCCCCCCCCCCCTTTTTGGGG